ATCAGAGCATTAATCTAACAATTTCCTTGGACATATGTTGTCAAATTCATGTTTGTAAGTTAATTATTGACACTGTAAGTCTCAGTTGTTTTTGTGACTAGTTCACATCTCATCCCATCGTTTTCACATCTACTACAATGCAGCAACCGAACATAAAGGAGATTTGAAAGTGCCTGTACAGAGAAATAAATACAGATTTTTACAGAGTCTCTTAGTTCTGTGGAGTATTTAGAAATGGTAAACAACTATAATCAGTGTTAAGCGGTATTTTTGTGTGCCTTTTCACCTGTAGTTGGTTCATTTGGTTAGTCAGATATATATAGATGTTATTACATTACCAACCTAGGCTTTTTGTCCACCTCTTTCATGTAAACCACTTGTGTTGGTAAACCCAGGGTTAACAGTCAGTTTTAAACGTTTTGTTTTATTTTATTTTTATGTACCTACTCAATACCCCTAGATGAGTTAAAACTTTTCACTGGTTTTCAGTCTTGTCCTTAATAAGGTCCTAGGCTACCACAGATGGGCTAATAGCTTTAGCCATGTGATACTTGATAATTAGAGGATACCTTCAGTCATTTTTGTTAAAGAACCACCCCCACCCCTTCAAAATCTGCCAGTACATAGATACTGTTCTTCACATTTGTCATTAAAGATATAAGACAGTATGCATACCATATGTTTACTAGACTGTTTAAAATATTCTACTTTGCTCTAAAATACTCCACTTCTTGAGTATTTGTGCCCAGACTGTAGAGTACCTTTTTATTTCATCGTCACCTTATTGCCTAGAGTTTGTCATAATGTGAGGACAAACTCTAGGAGTCTCCCTTCATCCTCATTAAGGGTCTGTTCTGCAGAAGTGTGAATATGTAATCTTTTAATAAGCACCCAGACAGAATAAAGTTAGTCCCAGTTCTTTTAGTGCTGGGGTGGGAGTGGTAATGGCACCCAGTACTAGACAAAAGGTAACTATAATGAGTGTACGTGAGTGTGAGAGAGAGGGAGAGGGGAAAGAGGGGAAAACCCTGTATGTGCTTGGCAATTTCAAGAGTCAGCAGCTGGGGTAAAAAAAAAAATCTCTCTCTATATATATACAGTATATAAGGAATGTAAATTTTCAACTGTACTTCTTTTTCTAATTTTAATCTCTCCTTCTCTCTCCTTTGATTCACACTGACCTCCAGTCTAGGTCTGTTAGATGTAGTCCAGGTCACAGCAGACAAACGAACAATGGAAATATCAAAGCCAGCCCAAGGCCTTTACATTTGGTTTTCTGCTCCAGGTAATCACAGTGTATAGATCAGTGCAGAGCACAGCTGAGGCATTGTCTTCTGCTTAGCCAGTCTTTTATTCCTCTATCTTTTTTCACGGGGCTGAATTTACTGACTCTCATTTCTGCTGTCATTGGTAAATCACGGGGTTAATTGTGTCTTAATACAGTGTGGCTACTAATGTTTAAAATGGCAAATTCAAATGAGATTTCATTAATTGAAACAGTGTCAGTCTGATGGTAATATATATCAACTTAAGAGGAATCGGAGAGCTTTGGACTGATGGTGCTGCATATCCATTAGACACAGACCTGGATCCATCTGGAAACAAAGTGTTTGTCAGTAAGCAGCCCAATTGTGTGAGATCATGGCTGGCTGTTCAGCGTGCAAGGTTGTGAAGTGTATCAAGAGGCACAGCTGAGTGAGTCGACTAGTCTGTGGTCTATTGATAACTCGTGCCTGTTTTAAAATCCTGGCACAACAATGCTGCTAGGGCCTTGTGTGCTCCACTGAGCAACAATACCTTCTCTCACTGGCAGCTTCAGTGCAATGATGACAAACAACAATAAAGGAGCTCCCTTTTTTTCATGGGCCTCTCAATCCTGGCACCTTTTGATAAGAATATCTTTTAAGTTTATACAGTGATAAACTCGGTATTCATGGGGAATAATTATTTCAAGGTTTGTTTTTAAATAAACAAAAGCACTTTGTCAAGGTGGATCAACAGACAGCTGTTAAAAGACAATACAGAGGCTCACTTTGCAGCCACCTACAGTACCAATCTTTATTTCTATCTCCTCTTCTTTGCTCCTTGGCCCCATTGCTATCCACCCACTTCCACACACACACACACACACTGGTGGTATTCATTTCTCCTGCCTTGTTCCTTTCCTTGTCTGTCTCAGTGTGTGTCTATAGCGCTCGTTGGCTGGACCAGTAGCTGGGAGGTATAGTGGAGTGTAAGCAGTGTTGATGTGGATGGCCCCTGGTCAGAGGCCAGGCCCTGGCTGTTAAAATGCAGCTTCTTTTGTGCGTCAGAGCCAGCACTGCCAGTCCTATTCCACCACTGACGCTAGGGGTGGGGAGGCATTTACCCACCACATGCATTAATTCCATTGGCATTGCTTGATGTAGGGCTAAATGGCATTGTTACAACGTGCCTCTGAGAAGTGTTGACAGGTCCATATGCTAATTTTAATGAATACAAGGGAGGCATTGGTTTTATTCACCTCAACTCAGCTGCAGAATCCTATCTACACCTAGACTAGCAAATATAATTGCAGCAAACTCAAATGAGCTCATTAGGAAATGTATTGAATTTACACATTATTTCCAGTAGTTAAGCTGAGTTATTTTCCCTAAGGACTCAATTACATACTCATTTGTGACTCAGGTAAATGGCTTTCTGTGTGTGACTTTTTCAACTGCAAAATTGTAGTCACTGAATAATTTGTAAGGAAGCTGTTGTACAAGCACATCTATTGACATTCATTTGTGTGAGCATTTCAAACTGCGAGGGGAAAAAACTGCAGACAAGATAACTACTCGCTTTTGTTCCTTTATTCACTTCATTTGATTAGTTCATAACATTTCATTCACTTGTGAATTATTTGAACGTGTGCTCATTTGTCTTCAGTGAGTTTCCTCGTAATGTTTTTGTTCACAACAGCCTTGTTGTCTTTCTGACACAAGTCATTTCATCAGTGAGCGTATAGTTGAACTTTTATCTAGTCAAAAGTGCAAGTGCAAGTCCTTTTTCACAATGGAAGAAGGATGGAGCGCTCAGTCTAAAAAAGACCTGGTGAGTCAGGGTTCAGTATCAGGGATTATGCCAGCCTCCTGCGCTCTGAAATGAAAGTGAACATTCACTGAGTGAGTCACTTCTTGAACTGTGTCCTCCCTGAGCCACAATGAAGAGATTGTTGGAGGAACGGACATGGTGTGGAAAGTATGTGACAAAGAGGAGTGCCCAAAATTCAAATTGCTTGTCAAATTCCTGTTTGTTCTGTGTGAAAATGGCCTTAATGACTGGAAAACAACAAAGAATTTTGGATGGGTAAGCATAAGGGTCTCCACAGAGCTTTGTATTGGCTTGTGCTAGATGAACTAAAGTGACTCTGGCTTTTGGCAGAGCTCCCAGGAGCTCATTGAAGACAGTTTCAGGCGGTTGTAGTGGACTTCAGTGATCGAAATGTGCTACTGATGTCTGGTTTGCATAATAAAATGTTCCATAAATTAGCTGTGATCTCTTCATGATTGGGAGAGCATTGTACTCTAACTGGCCATCCATAATAGTGCCTTCTCCTTTATTGGACTGTATATTTTAGAGAGTGACAGAGGAAATTTTTGGAGAGGATGACTTGTCATAAAGGTCATTCTCCAGATTCGTACTCACATGGCTCATGTCTTACTCTGCTGAGCCAGCAAGCTGTCCAGGCTGTGGAAAATTTCGTTTTGTGTCATTCTGTGCACCTCTGTATTGTGATTTTATGGTATTACGTGTGGTCTGTGCTGTTAGTGCTGGCTGTCCTCCCCCATGGAGTGGCCATAAGGGGAGTGAGACCGGGCCTAGTGCTACCCTAGCCCTGGAAGCCTCGGTCCAAACGCATCCTCTGCACTGAGCTGTAAATATCACCAACAGCTGGTGGCACACAAGTTAGTCGTGTTTAACAAATTACTGGCCTACATGTGGAGAGGCAGGCGACTTCACTTGCCTCCTTGCCAACCAAGTGGCCATACGAGTACAGTCTGCAACAATCAGCTTTATGGATTTAAGTAAAGAAATCACTTAAGCACATCTATTCTGTGAAGCAGTGTTGGTCAAAGAGAGATATTATTAAGTAAAAATCTATCCAGAGATAACCAGGCAGTATTGTCCAGCATGGCAGATAAACTACACAGCAGTGATCTCTATTTGAAGACACATTCCAGGTAGAGACAACAGAAAGTCAAACTTTTTGTAAACACAAGCCTGTTTGATCCCGCCCAGCTTCTACTCCTCATATACACAGAACTCTGTCTGGAGAGATAGGAATTATCTAAGTTACCTTTGAGCTCGGTAGCCCATCTAGTGCCCCTGGTCTCACACATAATGACATTCAGCGTAGCCCAGATCACATTTATGATAGCATATTTGATACAGCTGTACACCAGCAAAGAATATCACACCCTAAAAGAACACCCCTCCCCCCCCTTTCAGTTTAAACACAATCCATTTTCCAGTGTAAATCACTTGTCACTCGATTGCAAATGTAACTGCTCTGATCTGAAAGAGAGAGGTGGAGAGAGAGAAAGAGAGAGAGTAAAGATTATCTTTTGGGCCATTTCACTGGCACTGTTGCGTGACAGAGACTGACAGCTCTTTCAGATGACTGACAGGTGTCCTTTGAAATGCCGGTGAAGCAGCTTCTGTTCAGACTGTTGAAATGCATATTTGGAGCTCTTATCATAAAGCCATGGATGGCCCAGATAGGTGCCGTTAACATTGCAAATGGCTCCGGAATTATTCATTGTCAGTGCTGCGGGGGGGTGGGGGTAGGTGGGGTGAAGTTTGATTATTCTGCTCACACAATGGCAGGGTGCTTAATGATTCCTCTCCACCTTGGCAGCGGCATGTGCCGACTTCAGGCGCTAGCGACGGGTGACACAGGTCTGGCCAAGTGTTAGAGCAAGATCATACGTCCGGGTCCCATTTTAATTTCTAATACATTAATCTTTTCCTCACAGATCCTCCATGAATATTCCAGGGCTCCTTGTTTGTCGGGAAGGCTGTCTCGCTTTCATCTATTCAGGTGGTTTCATTCACTGTGAAAGCCAGCTAAATGGACCCGATCAGTCAATGACAACCAGGATACAATAGAGCCCGGTAACACGTCCCTTTTTTCCTTTCAGCCTTCTGATAGACAACCCTGACACCTGCTCCCTGGGGAGACCCTCCGCCAAGTCAGTGCACTGTTCCTTGAGAGACTTCCCTTACTTTATCAGCCCATAAAGGATTGTCACAGGTGACTATATCAGCTGAGGTATGGAGCTGCTCTCTCTGACCTGCCTCGGCACCGTGTGGTCGAGGCACCATGCACTGCTTCACAAGCGGATTAAGGTGGCTTAAATGCTGTCATACAAGCGGACTCAGTGCTTCACACTTTCTAAAAATGTTAAGCCTTTGTTCTCTTCCATTAATTAGCATTGTCTTAAGTTCATTAGACCACTGCTCATGTTGTTACTAATGAGGCAACGTAGACCACCTACATCAGCCGTAGCTTTGTAGAGCCTGACCTGACAGTGGCTCCTGTGCTTTCCCATCTATGGAGTAATGACATACAGACAGAGGGGATGCAGAAACACAGATACAGCCCAGAGTGAGGCTCACACTCATTAATGGTTACATTTCAGAAATTTAATTAGCATTAGATATTAAAACACAGGACTGCATAGATACATTTAAGTGGACAATGCTAAATGTGTTGATCTATAATGGAGACAAGTTTTTAATCTCTTTTGTTAACAGCTGAAGTTAACTGTGCAGATTAAGATGTGTTTTAGTGGCTTCAGTAGTGTTGTAAAAGTTTGTTCTCTTCTTATCTAATGATTATTTCAGGGCAATGCACTTCTGCTTATCCCTTTTCCAAAACTAAATGAGACTTACAGGGGCCTGTATTCTAGAGTGGCATCTATAACTCAACAGAGGGAACACCTTAACAAAGGCAACTTAAATGTACACTGACAGATATGGATATAAGAAGTGTCAAGCCCAGTGATGTAGACTGGGCACCATTCATAATTATGATATCTGATTTCAGCTCAAAAGGAAAAAAGTGGGGGGAGAGCACCATTATTTTAATGGAGAAGAGACAGCCTTCTCCCTCAAGGAACATCTACACTGACACTGGCTGCTGGAAAATTGGGATTTATACTTTCTGTTTTCTATTAATATGGAGATGAATACAGGTGCTGCTGTGTCGTAAAATTAGTTTAGCTCTTGCAAATTGCAATTACACATGTTGAGGAGAGAAGGGTGATGTCTGTGCATTTCACAGGCAAGAGAAAATGTAAGAAAATTAGGAAAAATGTCTAGGTTTAAAATGAACATTATAACATGTAATTCTGTCCTCTCCAGCCCCTCAGCCAGTCTGGCAGATGTACCTATTTGTTCTGCTTAAAAGAATAGGACACTTTTCCTTGCTTCTCATGCAAGGAAAAAGCGCATCAAATATGCTATAAATGTTTCCCTCTTCAAGTGTGAAGACTTGGGAAGGGCTTCAAAACCCAGGGAAGTCATCCAAATTTCCCCGCTGTCATCCTAAGGGGCTTGTGGAGGGCATTTCTGAGCAGAGTGCACTGGTGAATGTACCAGCAAGGTGAGGTGGGGCTGTACCAAAGAAATACTTCAGCATAACAGCAATGATTGGATTATAGCTGTGCACCCAGGCACAAGCCTCTCCATGAAAGTGTAAGCCAATACAGAGTAGGGAAGATACAGTGCACAAACAGACTCTGAATCAGTGTATTTTTTTAATCTTAAATGGAAACATCAGTCTCATCGTCTAGCTAATGTTACTCTCTGTAATCTCTGTCTAGCATCTTTAGTCATACCATGTTAGCAGTTATTTATGGTTTGTTAGGGTTGACACTAAATATACATTTATTTTACATCCACTACAAGTTAGCTACATTCAGCTAAGGTTATCCATCCGGAATTATCACAGTCAGTAAAGGGAGATCTAAACATTTTAAGCAACTTTAAGCGCCTCCCTCCCAACATGGCGTGATGCACCTTCACATTATCTATACAAAGATAAGCTAACTGGCTCCAGCTGTAGTTTCGTATTTACTGTACAGGTATGGGTGTGGTATAGACTGTCAAAAAGTGTCTTCCTTTAAACAATCCTCACGTTATAGTAAAAAAAAAAAGGTGGTGGAAAAATTTGTTACAAGATTGCTACAATAACAGAAAATTGCTAATATTTGATGGTCAAAAATTGTAAATATGTCACTGACCCTTGCAGTTGATGCAAAAGTAACTATTCTTCAACAGAGTCCCGTGACTTAATCAGTCAGCTACAGCGTTTACCTGGCATTGGGCTAACTTTCTCTCCACAGCCAGTAGAGAGGCTCTGGTACTGAGGCAAGACATTAATTCACAGTGTCAACCTGTCCCCCTGGAATATTTATGATGCTAAATACATTTAATTAGGCACTGGGAGCTATGATGGGAGAGAAAATGCACTGTCAGTAAAAAAAAAAAAAAAAAAAAAAAAAGGATTTTGTTTCTTCTCCTGCTGATAAGCTGGTAATGCTGCTTACTCATTCTCAACGACAGGGAAACCAAATACACTGCAAAGGGAATTTGAATCACTCAAAATCATTTGTGGCATGTTCATTACAATGTCATCATAGCACCTGAGGAGGATAGTACAGATTCTTATTGAGGAGCCGACTGTTTTCCTGAGCAATATTTGACATGGCAAGCAAGTATTATTAATCTACATCAAGGCTTTTGTCTAGAATACAGCGGACATTATTAAATTAACAAGATTGACAAATATGGGCAGCATGTTGTAAAGATGATGATGGTTTGTTAGTCTTTCTTGCAAGGAAGAAAAAACTGATGGTCTTTGTTTCTCTGAAAGTTTATAATGCTTAAACTTAAATTATGTAGTTCTTAATTTGGGCAATCAGCACTATTAATTTGCCTGCTGACAGTTGGGGCTAATGTAATAAACCAATAATTAATTTTAATAATAAAAAGCAAGCATCAAAATGATTGTAGACTTTGTACTGCTGTACTCCAGTCATCACAAAAAGAGATTTTGATGCATTGGCTGACGGCCCGGTGTAAAGTGAGACATCATGTCTGTCTGTGATAAAAACATGGCTACAGTAAATAATAGCCAGTTTCCATCTTGACATCTGTCATCCAAGTGGAAATGGATGGGGAAATGACCAACTCTCTATCGGCTGAGCTCTGGCTGTGTCACTGGCTGAATGATGCAAATGGAAGATAATATCAGTGCTATACTGAATGGCATTACTCCAAATCTAATGTCATTAAAAGGATGGGTATTAGCTTGGCTGTCTGGAGGTGGTGGTGTGGGCTGCTCCGGCTTGACTGACACACAGATTAAGTGCAGTGACAGGGAGCACAATAAAGTCATCAGAGAATGTGACATGTCAGTTAGGGGGGGGATGAAGGGATGAATTGTCACTCTCTGTCAGAGCCCATCCTCTCCCTTATCCATGATGTCCCATACACCACCGTGGGAAAACAGGACAGCACATGTGCTTCAGACAAATACTTATTCAGGTAGAGGACAAACACAGTATACCCACTCAAGCTTTCCTTTTCTCTGCATGTTTGTAAATTTACTCCCAGAAGAAGAGCAGACGATGGATGAAAAGCTTAAGTGTGTCAATTTGTTTTCCTAAGACATCACATGACATTTTGTCAATGTAATATTTGATCATTGCAATAAACTAGTACTGAAAATATGCCCCATCTTATTTTGGGAAGATGACTTTTGACTGTATCCTGGCTTCAAGCTATATTATCTTATTTCACAAGTGATATTAAGGCTGTGTCATCTTGAAAGAGAAAATCAAATGGACATTATAATGGATGACAATCAATACCCTTGCAGCATATACTGTACATAATTAGAAATTACTTATAGAACCTACAGATAGAAACAGATTAATTGATTTTATTACCAGCCAAAAGATAATGCCTTCTTTGTCTGTTACAAAAGAATACATCCAATATGTACCTTTGTGTCAAGCTGCCTAAGGTCCTCAGTACAGGTTTGAAGATTGACTATCCCAGGGATTTTGGAGTATACAGTCTGGCCAAAAGATGGCAATGTTGCAGTACTGAATTTCAAATGAGTTTCCTACTGGTTGGACCCCCATCGCAGACTGGCCACTGCCTTTCCCTGCAGCTTGCTTCTTGCCAAAGTAGCCCAGAAATTTGTCTTCTTCACAGGGAACAACTGCACTGAAGTGCGAGAACGACGTTAAAGTCGATCGCTAAAGTTCCACCAGAAAAGTTGTACATAGAGGATGGATGAAAGGTTGAGGGAACTGGCTCACAAGGTGTTGAATGCACATTTCTCATGTCATACAGATGTGCTGCTTAGTATACAGTTAATACATTTAGCACAGTTGTGGCAGCTCTATAGTTTTTATGCACATGTTTTTTTTTTTTAGAATTTAATATGATTTTTTTGCTTGTGTTCTGTTCTATCACACAGGGCAATTTCTGTAATTGGGAATAAATTATTTTTGTCCTTTACAATCCCAGCTTTTAAATAAATTTACCATCACCTCTCCTGTATCATGTCCATACATTTTGAAATAAAGTTTAGCTAGGTTAAGTGCAATTTGTGCTTAGATTTGCTTCAAAGTGTTTCTGAGCAGTTACAGACAGTAGGAAAGCATTTCAATGCATTTGGTGCAGCCAGATAGACACTCAGTGGGGGAGCAATTGGACAGCTATTATAGCACTAAAATACCTGTAATGTGCCTCTGCAAGTGGATTATGAAGTTATGTCCTATACTGAAATGGTTAACAGAACAGGTCTGCTGAAAATAAATTGTCAATTTGCCATTCTCAACAAAATTACATCCTTCTTAGATGCTTGCAGAGGGAGCTTTAGAAAAAAAGCATACAGTTGGGAAGACAACATTTTTATTAACTAAAGAATAGAAGAAAGTTGCTACAAAATACATAATTTTAACTTTGTATATCTGGTTGCAGACACTTGAGTGACACTTGTTTGCGCTATTGTTTTGAAGGTAACAGGAATAGAACTCTCTCCCATGGCCACTTTGCTGGTCTTTATTATTGGCTTATTGCCTTTAAGCTGTCACCACTCAGAGCATTTCTCCTCTCAGGGGATTGTCTTCTGGGACTCGAGAGAGCTCGGCTGGCTAGGAATACTCCGCTGCTGCTGCTGCTACTGTGTCATGTTGCATGCAATGTACAGTACTCCTACTGCTGATTTTTGCACCAATTTACACATAAAACATCCTCCTTTACATCTGTGGGAGAAGTGTCTGGGTTTAAAAATTTCATTTGCAAAATCAGCAAGTGGAACTTTTATTTAGGTGTATTTATTACATTTCTACAGTTATATAATGTTTCTTTGATTGTTGAAGTCAGTTGTTCCCTTTCTTAAGAATGTTCCTTAAACATTTAGATTGCATTGTACAATAGACTGTGGATGTTTCACTGCATAAGGTCAGTACATATGAGGAACATGAGCTGAATGCCAATTGAGCCTCAGTCAGGTAGCCTCCTAGCCTTGAGCAACTGTTGTTTATTGGCTATTGCATTAAAGAGAAAGTGTAGATGTGCAAATAAAGGAACAAAGATACAGAGAGAGAAATATAAATATTTGTAATATGGGGGTGGGGGGGGGGGGTTACATATGCTTCATCACATTTGTTAGTTAATGCTTAGGCAATTTGTAATAAAAAAAATGTAATTTAAAATTCTTAGGCAAAAAAAATGTAATTTAAAATTTTGTTTTGGAAATATGACATATGGTGATGCACAGTGGGAAACAGTTGAACTGAAGTGTATAGAAATCCCAAGATTTAGCAAAAGGGTGTGATTTTCTGCTCCCAAGCCTAATCCCACCATTCCTCCACCTCTCCTCTCTTATGCCAGTCACATTTTCTAATTAGCTTTCCCTGTAGAGGAAGAAGATGGATTATATTTTAATATCTGGGGGCTAAAATTAGTTTATATTTTAGCAAGTTAGCACTTCTTAGAAGTTGATTTACTCTTGAAGCTGTAAAACCCGTGAGCTTGCAATTAATCATTCTCTTTGGTCTTGTTCTCAAGGAAAAAGAGGCTGCAGTGTCACCGGCTGGATCACAATAGGTAAACACCTAATTTACACTATTTAGAAACCACCTCTCTAGTATTGTACAACGCATGACATTCGCTCCCTGAATTTTACTGTCCTGCTCTGGTTATTAATTACAGCACACTTCTAACAAAGCGACATTGTCTTTGACTAATCATCGACACAGAATGATTAAAGATGTTCCTCGCTTTTTTGAATTACTTGCTTCCCCCTTCGTCTGTGTTCATTCATGTCGCTGCCTTTTTTCCCTTCTTGGTCAAAAAGTCGGTTTGCTGTTATCCGATTACCAGCGTCCTGAGAGGCTTTCAAAGGCCCATCCATCAAGACTAAAGGGTTGAGAGAAAGCTTCGACAATGCTGCTGCAGTGACATAAAGCACTGAAGGATTCATGGTCGTGGTGATGACTTATCATGTAATATGACGTTATGTGATGCTTTCTGATGTAACTTTATAAAGGTGACAGTGTATGTTTATCCAAATGTATCAAGAGTCACCTGTTTCTGTAAAACGTCAGAGGGGTTGTTCACATTATAAAAAACGTTATTCCTCTAAGATAAATTAACCTGTGTTTAGATGCGACACTTTCATATAAAGGTGCTATAAATTAACACCTGCATAATATGGCTTCAGTAAAATGTGCCTGACAGAGGAGCAGGTGTATGGATGCTGTTCTTAAATGTACAGTCCTCTCTTCCAGCCACACAGTGTGAGGAGAGTATCTACTAAGCCTGGATCTGGCATGGCTTTGGAGCACTGTTTGGTGACTGGAGGTAGAGCAGTGTCAGGAGGATCATCAGTGGCTCTCTCCCAGGGAGATGAGCACCATAGGCCAATTTCATATGTGGGGCTCGGCCCCTGGGTCTGAGTGGAAGTGGGCTGGGTCCACCCGGTATCCTGGCTTCATTAATCATCCCGCCAAGGCTTACTGGCAAACCCCTCTCCGCCCTCTCCTAGACAACCCCTTGGATTACACAGAGCCAGCGAAATGTCAGCCCAAATCTGAGTCTTGATGCAGATAATCATTTCAATAATATTTCTCCATTTGTGCCCCCGATGCCAGGGGAATAAAGCTTTTCCACTGTCAGGTAGCATAAGACTACAGTTGGTGGGAATACTTGACTCTGAGCCAGATGGCTTAGCCATGCTTGCAGCATATGTTCAACAAGCAGTCCTGTGCCAAGCACGCATTAGGTTTTTATTAATTTGAAGCAGGCAGAAATGCATACATATATAGTTACCTGATCCCACTCCTCCTTACTACCCATGAAACCCAGAGTTCCCTATAGAG